ATGACTTGCAAGCGCACTTCTTCGTTAGGCATTTTTTAAGCAGTTGCACTTCTTGAAACCTTGTCCTCCGGTCAAAGACAATTTTGCGACAACTTCTCGAAGACTCACTTCTTTATCTTTAACAACTTCTTCTATCTTGATAAAGTCTTCAGGGCATGAGGTAAATTAATTTTGTGTATAAAGCTGCTTTAGCACTCCAATTTTGGTATCTAGTTGGTAAAACTCGTTGTCCTTTACATCTACTACAACTGCAATAACGCTTTTCGGGTCGGTTTTAGCTTTGTCAATTTCAGGCACTTTCAGTCTTACATTTTGGCCAATTTTCACATTTGGATATTTATCAACAGACGTGGCTTTCATTTTTTCAGCTTGTTTTTCCAAATTCAATTTTGCGTTGTTTCTTATAGTCACTACAGATTCTATCTTTTTTGGTATAGGCTCTATAGTTACAAGAACTTCCTAAGACTCAATCATGTTTTCTGTCTCTTTGAATCGGTATTCCTCTGAATCCTTACATTGGAATCATCGGTTATTTGCTAAGCTTTCATTTTCTCAGTAATAACCATTTCATCTTCTTGTGTTTTATCGTTGAGAGTACTATTGTCTATATCCGCTTCTGACTCATTTTCAACAATGCTTTCTTCCTTGTCCTGTTCGATTGCATTTTCGACGTCATTATTTTGTTCCATATTGTCATGCGAATGCAACAACTTCTCTAAATCTTCTTCAGATCTTATAACTCTAATCATATCACTAGGGATTGCTGAAGTTGCAAGACCCATTTTCATTGAACAACCAAACATTGCTTCATAGGGAGAACATTTGATTCCCTCGTGATATGCTCTATTTTTCTTTACCTGAATGAATCTTAAACCCTCTGACCACTTTGATAACTGATTGGTTTCCATCCACGTACTCAACATATTTTCTGTCTTGATTAGCACGCTCTGCTGATCCTTGACTTTGGCTATGTCTTGCCTTTCCATGTACGATTTTTACATCCGGCCACATGGAGCATAAACTCTCAATAACTTGGTTAGAGAATTCTCGACCATTATCGGAATGAAGGATGCTCGGCGCTCCAAAACTGGTGAAAATATTTAAAAGATGGTATGCAACTTCTACGACGCGTTTAGTTTGAAGCGCACGAAGGATCAGAAATTTGGTAAGATGGTCTTGGTAAACTAAAATAAATTTATAATTTCCATCTGGGGTAGTTAGTAGATCTATTAGATCAACCTGACAGCGTGAGTTCATTTCACTTTGAAGCATAGATCTGACAACAATGCCCCTTTTCAGTCTTCTGTTTCTTTTGGCAAGATTGACATAACTTCAAATATGTCACAGTAGCCTCAACTGTTACATTTTTATACTTGCGGTTACATTCCTTAAACATCCGTGTCCTTCTACCCTGGCCAACAGCAACATGTGTTTCTTCGAGTATATTTAATAAGTCCTGGTAACAAATGTAATACCTTATTTTTCCATCCTCCTCCTTCATAGGTGCAATTAGCTTTTCTTCGCCGCCTATAGTCAAAATGTCGCAACGCTTTATACGCCTGTAATGAACAGCTTGTTTCTTTTTCATGTTCTTTGCAGCTTTTACTTCCTCCAAACACTTTGTGTATTTGTCCCTATTAAGAGAAAAGTTATTACCTTTCTTGCTTGCAACGAGCTCGTCCATTATTTCATAAAATTTCCGTTTCATACTCATCTTGATTCGTAAATAACTTTTAGACAACGAAATCTGAAACAAGATTAGAATTAACGTGCGTGTTCTAACGTGTCAAACGATGAAATGAGGCGAGCGAAGGCGACGACGCGGTGCGGTGCGGGAAGCGGGAACTATTTTTTCAACATTTACCATGTCTCTGAGGTAAAACCTAAGATATACCGAGTAAATGCTGGTAAAAGTTCGAAATTCGCGATGATCGCAGAACATTTCGGACCTTTACCACAAAGATTTGGTAAATCTAAGGTTTTACTGGAAGATCTTAGGATTTACCATAGTTCGAGCATTTACAGTAACATATAAGAAGAAAAACTCATTTAATTAGAGTAGAACTTTAGCTAACAGATGTACAATTTACTTTCATTTTTTAAGTATTTAGTCTCGATGTTTTGTCGAAATTTTTTAAACATTGTTGAATAGAAGTAAAACTAATTAAACCTAAATCTGGACAGTAAAATATGCACAAGTAAAATCTGTATTAATGTATATTATCTATAAAGCAGTTTTAAAGTAATGTAATGATGAACAATGTGATGAATTTGGGAAAGTAAATAGACGGTTAAAAAATTCGGCTTACTGTTTTCTTTGTTCAATCCATACAATGACTACAATCTTGGCTTTCAGAAAAAAACTTAAGTAGGCGTATGAAATGAAACACTGTACTGTGGACAAAAAGCTATCTGCATAATAATACGCAACTTTCTGAGTAGAGCAAAAAATTCTCAAATTTTAATAATAAACTATTATAATTCCATATTATGTATATTCTCTGCTTATTCTAAATCAAAAATTTGTAGGTTTGCAAATGCATGTAGGTTTCAACCAGTGGCCAGTTCTATAAAACATTTCAGTACTAGTTTCTCTTCGATGGTTAATGCATGACGAAAAGCAGGCCCTGTGCATTTTTCGGACATTTTTCACTGTCAAAAATCTAAACAAAGGCAGTTTACTCGTAGAAATTCTTCTTCGAAAGGGTCCTCTTCTCACATCGCTCATATCTTGCGTTGTATTAACTGATCAATCTAATAAACTTTACAAATATACCTATTATTCGTATTCGAGTAATTTCAATTGANTTTCACTGTCAAAAATCTAAACAAAGGCAGTTTACTCGTAGAAATTCTTCTTCGAAAGGGTCCTCTTCTCACATCGCTCATATCTTGCGTTGTATTAACTGATCAATCTAATAAACTTTACAAATATACCTATTATTCGTATTCGAGTAATTTCAATTGAAAAACTAAAAAAACTAATTTTAAATTTATTTGTAAAAGCCCACGATAGCACAGTACAATGTACAATGAAACAAATAAAGAAAAAACTATGTAAAACCAGTATATAAGATATGATTTGCAACTTAAATTTTAAAACATTCTTATAAAACTTGACATATAATAAATATCTTCACATAGGTGTCAGAGTAGTTAAGGAAATTTTTACTTTTACAGATGTTATGTATAGCAGAAGGAAAGTATGGCAATCGGTTAAAAATCTGGAGAGGTATGCGTGTAGAGTATAGATGTTTGTGTCTTAGTCTTACTGCGTGCGTGTCTGTGTAGCACGATTTTGTTCATCCTCTTTGAAACTTAATAACTCTTGTACTTTTTGTCAAAAGTTTGTTAAATTTTAGGAGTAGGTTTGCTTATTTGCGGAATTGATGCTGTTCAATTTTGGTAGAGAAAGGTCGAAAGGATGGAAAGATTAAGGAAGTTGTCATAATCTCTAGTAGAGTCAGACTTAATAACAATTTACTTATTATTCGCATTTACAATCTATACATATAAAATTTCATCTCCTGACTGACTGACTGGCTGACTGATTGATTCATCATCGCCCAGAACAAACCACTGAATCTAAAATACTGAAATTTGGTACACAGTTCGAATACCCCATAAGAATGTATACTAAAAAGGAATTTTTGGAAATTCAACGGCGGGAGGGAAAGAGAGAAGCTTAAGTCTTAAAAAGTCTTAGGCTCGAAAAGGGCTAAGACGTGGTACCAGAAACGTGGTTTACAAATAAGTACTGGTGTAACTGAAACTATATTATACGTCTGTAGAAATTTATACTTCAAGAATTTTCAGATAACGTGATTCATGTTTCGAAAAAAAAAACTCAGATTTATCGAATCTATTTTGAATTTAATAATATTTGAAACATGAATTTAGGTGCATTAGCGGTCTATAGTTTGAAACAAACAAAAATCAGTAATTTTACCAAATTAGTAAAAACTAATGTTTGAGAATCGTAATCTTAATGAAGTAGTGAAGGTGGGTTATTTCTCTCAAATTGAAAAATCTGCGCGGGCGAAGCTAGTTTTTTTTTTATAAAGCCCATCTTCGCCCTACATTTAATCCTTTTTCCATTTTATATAAAAATATAAAAGTTTTCAAATAACATATTATAACAGACTGTACTACCACATTTTGCAGGGGCAGTTAATTAACTCGTTGCTGAATTTTCAGCCCAATTATCGATGAACACTCTAGGCCACAGTACTCCGAATGAAGATAACCGTTACAATGCTAATGATTTCTGTGCAAGCTATTTCAATTATTTTTTACATTAAATTTTTTAAATTATTTACAAAATACTGAGATTATTGTTTGATGTTTGATTTTGTTTCGTGACATGCCAATCTGAAATTCGTACACTACAGGTACAGTACTTGTGTTTTTTTTTTGCTTTCAACGTTATTAGGTGATGTAAAAGTACATGAACAAATTTTTTAGTACTGCTAACTGATTTCATAAAAAAAAAAACTTTTCTTAAATTCTTAAAATAAATTTAAACAAATTTTATGTTTCCGTTGAACAGAATTTAGCTATTTTTTAGAGATTCATAACAATTTATCAAATAATTCTTATCATTGCTTCTTGACAGGCATCAAACCATATTAGTGTATAATAATAAATTGTTAAAGAAAATAATAAAGCATGAAAGAAAGATATAAACTGCCGATTTTTACTCCACTTCTTCAATCTTCGAAATGCATGGAAATGATTAAAGTATCAATTTTTAATTACCTACATTCAACGATGTATAAAGTAATAATATGTGAAAAAATTAACTGATGTACAAATATAAAAAATGGCATATTGAACTTAAAACGATTACATTTAAATAATTAAAAGTTTTTAATGATATAAATGTAACTACTTACTTTTTATTAAATTTTTTTTCAAATTTAAATTGTTTTTTCATAGGAAATACTATGGTATATGTTGAAAACGATTCCTCTGAAATTACTAACGCTCCTTTTGTCTGATCGTTAGTGTATTTACATAAGCGTCAGATATAACGTGTGCATGTTTATGTTGTAGGGTATATTCAATTCCTTCGTTTATAGTGTAAAAGCTCTTATCTGCATTATTTCTTATGTAATCACCTAAAATGCTGACCATACCTTTGGGGGCATTCTATAACGAAAAAAAATTTAACATGTATTATTACCTAGATTTCATTTTTTTAAAGATTTCTTTAGCGTTTTTCCACTATATTGTTATATTGTTATAATTACCTTACATAATCCAATTTGTTACCGATATGATTTCACTTACGTATGTAAACTTTCAAAAACAAAATGTAAAGTAAAAATATATTGAAGTAATTTACCTTTATCATTTTCTCGTAAGCCGAAGATGGTATAGTTCCACAAGAATATTCATGATTTTTAATTGCATTTTCAAGTTCTTCAATTGTTGTCAAAACTTTTTCATAAGCGGGATAAGTCATGTAGGAAAAGAGAAGACCACCGTATGCTGATATAAGTACGGTTGTGACCAGCAGCCAAACTCCAATAACAATTCTCGAAGAAGTGCATTTATCTTGATTTATTTCACTTCCTATAAAAAATTAACATCAAGAATTTCATAAAATTTAACATAAAGGATATCAAAGATGCAGCAATGCATTTTTTTTGCATCTTCTGTAATTTTTTTATACTTTTGTCATCGTGTATTCGTTTTACAATTGTATCAGTTAACAAAAAAATAAGTTTTAACACTAGAGAATAACACACACTATAGTTTATAAATAATTTAAGTTGATTATTATTTAATTACGGAATTAATCATGTGTCGAATATGTAAAATATTTTAACTATATATGAAAAATATATGCATTAAGCCATATTACTTGAAATGATTACATTGGAATTTTGATTTTTTGCACGTGATTAGAAAGTGAGCACAATATAACCTGTTACTACAAATCCATATAAAAATCTTCTTTCACATTTATGCTAGTATCCTGGGAAAGGAAGTTGATTTCTTTTCCCAGGCTAACTCAGGATGAATCGAGTATTTGCACACGTTACGGAAGACCAAATAAAAAGGCCGTTTTCCTTCCATTCGCGGCTGTCCGACAAAAAGAGGTTGCCATACTGAAGAAGAGAACTAGTCA